GGGGTAGGGGGAGTTGAATTGCTATGAAAGAATTAGTCATACTCAGCCTGGGCTGCTTTGTAATGGAAATAATTTCATGTTTTGTAAGGTAGGAGGAGAGCCAGTTGGGGAGTGTGTACTAGTGGCTGCCCCAGCTATACTTGGGCAGCAGGCACATCAGGTGGCAGATGCCTCCTGGGATGCACTCATTGTTCTGAGCTCGCCCGCCCGGAACCGCTTTGAATTGTTTCCTACCGTGTCCAGGCCTCAGGCAGTACTCTTTTTCTGTCTATGCTGTCACTTACATTCCTCCCCAAGCTCAGTTTCCATCACCTCTAATCATCCCTGGAGGACTTGTCCTTTGTTCTTGGATTAAGCCCCGCCAGCTGTCACTCACCCAGGCCAAACTTCACACTGGCCCAGAGCCATTCCTGAGATTTGTCAGCGTCAGTGGGGAAAATTTGATGTGTTTCAAGCAGGTCCCGCGCCAAGTTTGCACAGGGTAGCATGCAGCACAGGAGGAGACAGAATGACTATGCTAGGGAGGCCAGGCCGGTTTCTAATGGGCTACTTTTCCATGTTTGGGAAGAGAAAGGTCCCTATGGAGGCCTTGCTGTCTCTTTCCCACACAGCTGTCTGTAAGCAAAGATACTGTTGGCTGCCAATATCTCCTGATAAAAGGCAGGAAGCTAGGGGCCGAAAAGGCCCACGGGAGCTGCCTGCCTCTGCCCAGGTTCCAGGGTCTTCTGTCCCCTTCTGTCTGGAAGCCTGGCTAGGCTGGTCTCTCCCCCATGCTGCTCTGAGGGGTGTTGCTGTCATGCATGGTACATCTGGTCTACACTGAATGTCTTGACCCTTCATAAGACCTTCCTGTGTGAGGGAACAACCCAGGTCTCAAAGCCACAATGTGGAAACACCCAGTTCATCCCTTGTCTTATATCCCAGGTGCCAGGTGGAGATGGCAAATAAGGGCATCTTGTCACAGGCCTTAGCCCAAAGGGGTCACAGTGAAGGTCATCCTGGGGACCAACTGGAGTGTGGGGATGGGTATTTTTAGTTGGATGAGCCTCTGACCATCAGGCACCCAAGCAGTAGTTGGTTTCACCTACGACACTAACAAGAGTGACACCTGAGTGCCAGCTATTTCTCAATGACACCAACATAATGAGCCTGACCAGAGTAGACTTGAATTACTACCAGTAAAGGCAAATCCTGTTGATTAGAATTGAAAGGGGTGGACGATGCCCCCAGTCAAACTAATGTGCCAAAGAGGAGCCTCATCTGAGTCTTCTCATACCCCCTGGGTTCTCCTGTGTTTTCAGAATACCTTTATGCAGGAGTCTCCTGAGTGCTGGGGGACACAACTTAGTTCCCCATTCAGGGAGCTTCAAAAATGAATTCCCATCCTGGCTTCCAGGGCTGTTACACCCTTGCATCTCTCACCAATCCCCAACCTGCCACCACATGCATGAGCACACATGCTCCTACATGCTCACTCATGCATGCTCCCGCCTTCAAACATACTCATGTCCATATACATACCTGCTTTGACACACATACACATATCTTCTCACAGATTCTGTCACTCAGCCTCACAGTCACACACAGATTCCTCAAAAATGCTGACATTCGGGCTGGAGAGATGGCTCAGCGGTTAAGAACACTGGTTATTCTTGCAGAAGACCCAGGTACGAATCTCAGCACCTACATGGCAGCTAACAACTGTCTGTAACTCCAGTTCCAGGGGATCCGATGGCCTCTTCTGTCCTCCGTGGGCATTGCACAACATGGGTGTACTTACCTACATGTGGGCAATACACTCATAAAAAATAAAGGAAAAATACTGACATTCACATGCATGCTCATACACTTGCTCACATACACTTGCACTTATTTCACACCCTGTCTCCCATGCTTCTGTTCACATACTTTACATGGTCATGTTCACATGTTCATATATTCTCTCACACACATGCTCATGCATGTACACTCCCATGGGCCCAGGTTCACACTCAAACACATCTCTCAGCTGCAGGGACATTTCTTCAGACCCTTCATTGTTGTTGGCTGTAGTCTCTGCCTGCTGCCCATGGGCCTGTCCTGTCCACCAGCCTGTGTGCTCTTAGAAGGAAGACTCACATCTTCCCTCAGCTTGCCACCCCTGGCCAGCTGCCAAGTGCAGAGAGCCCCAGTGTGGTTAGCAACCTTCAGCAGTCACTGTCAGTGTGTGCATCTCCAGATGTCAAGGGTACTGCCAGACAAACCACAGTGTGCTAATACACTGACTGTTCATTCATCCTTGATGTCTTCAGTATTCACCTGGGTTCAGACTGCCCTGGTTATCGCATCATGGAGATTCTAAAACTTTAAATGTTTTTTTCTTTTCTCTTTTTTCTATTTTATTTTTGCCTTTTAAAAATATTTTGTTTTTAGCCGGGCGTGGTGGCGCACTCCTTTAGTCCCAGCACTCAGAAGGCAGAGGCAGGCGGATCTCTGTGAGTTCAAAGCCAGCCTGGTCTCCATAGCGAATCCAGGCCAGCTGGGGCTACAGTAGGAAGATCCTGTCTCAAAAAGCCACCCCCCCCAAAAAAATTTGTTTTTATTTTACATGTATGAAAAGTGTTATTTGCATGTAAGTGCACCCATTGTGCAATGTCTGAGGTCAGAAGAGGGCGTCGGGTCCCCTGGAATTGGGGTTATGGATGGTTGTTAGTCGTCATCTGGATGCAGGGAATCAAACCCAGGTCCTCTGCAAGAGCAGCCAGTGCTCTTAACTACTGAGTCATCTCTCTAGCCCTCCGTATTGTATTATCGGCTTTATAATAAGAATGACCTGAGCTTCATGACTGGTTGATCTTGCCATTTAATACACCCCACTGTGTTAGGTACGTTAAGGCCTTCCCCAGATACCAAGGAAACACCAGGGCCATGTTCTTGAGTTTCCCAGCCTCCAGAATCAACTGTAAGTTTTTTTGGGGGGTGGAGGGTAGTTGAAACCAAGTCTCACTAGGTAGTCCACACTGACTTCAAACTCACAATCTTCCTGCCTCAGCCTCCTTAGTGCTGGGATTATAGATATACACCCCCATACCTGGTAAGCCCCTATTCTTTATGAAGTACCCAGTCTCTGGTATTTTGTTATAGCTACAGCAAATAAACTAAAACATCTTCCACATCTGTATGTTGGAAAACTGGCTCAAGTCCCATTTCAGGTTTTTCAGCAGCCCCATTTCTGACCTCTGCCTGTCTCAGCCTGGGGATGCCAGTGTCTACACTTAGACTTCTTTCTCTGCAAACCTGGTGCCCCTACCACTGTCCCTCAACCCTCTCCCACAAACTACAAATCATATTTATTTAACTACAAACCATATGCCAAAATTTAAAACTCCACCTTCTGCCAAGATCTCCCTCTTCATCTCAGATGCTCTTCTACCCTCTCCTTGGAGGGATCTTTCTAAGGGTTCACTGGGTCACTTCCCTCTCTGAAACATCTGTCAAGGTCAGATCCAAATTCCTGGCTATGGGGTATGTTCCTGACACAGGCATCACTCTCAGCTCTGATTTTCCTACCATGATACATACCCTCTGACTTTGACCTCCACTGCAATTTCCCTTCCTACCCTCTTCATCTGTGTACATCCAACTGAGAAGCCCCTTTGCCTGGAAGCCTATGCACACAGGCTAGGGGAGCTGTTTATGCCCATCTCCCCTAGATCATCTTTGGATGGCACATAGGTATGCCATCTGTATCCAAGCTGCCTGAAACAAACTCAGGAGTTGATAACTATTGAAAATAATTGGAGACATTATGCATGCTACCTATTTAGAACTTCCTTTCCCTTCCAGTGTTCAGTGAGAGTCTTGAATTGACCCCAGGACGGAGGACCCGAAGCTATGTGGCTTTTCCACACCTAGCTCCAGGCTCCCATGAGCCCTTCCTCTGTGGCTTGGCTGGGCCAGAGCATGAGGAGGAAAGGCCAAATGGCCTGACCCTTCCTGCCCAGGACACACAAGCTCATAGCAACAGTCCCATGAATAATGGGGACAATGCTTTCCTCTGCAAGGGGACACTTGGGGGGTCCTGGGTTCTTGCCGAGGACCCCCTGGGTTTCTGCAGCTGTGTAGGTGGCTGCTGTAAGGCAGGCTCTGGCCTGGGATTGCTTTTGCCCCCAAGTGAACCACCTGTCCTAGCTGACCTGTGGCTGCCCCTGGGACTTGGCTGCAGGCGGTCCTGGAGGTGTTGACACTTGGCATCTGACCTGAAACTAGGGAGACTTAGAGAAACATGAAATTGATTGAATTTAAGCCATTATTCACTTTTCAAACATCCCAGGACAGCTAGGCCTGTGGTCCACTGCTGCCACTTCAGTTCCTTTACAGAAGGCATATTGACTCCAACTCATAATGACCAGGATCACCTCACTGTGGCTTCTGCACCAGGTGTCCATAGCTGCTCCAGTTTCTGGCTGAGCACCAGAAACCAGGTGGGCACGGGTACCAGCCTGCCTTCAGGTCCTGGGGCCACAGAGCCTGGCAGGCTTGGGAGTAGGGATTACAGAGGTGACCCTTCAGGGCTGACATGACAGCCTAGGTAAATAGGGTGTCCTAGTCTATTCCAGTGGTGACTTGTGAGTGCAGGCTGAGTGCAGACTCGGGATAGTTTTGTAGACAGGGCTCAGGGATCAGGGTCCTCGCTGCTTTCAGCATTTGAAATAACAGAGGTCGAGCACCATGGTGGAGCCGTCTTTTCCAGGTCTGTTCTAAGTGGGCCCCACCAGGATGCCAAGCTCGGGATGAAACATCAGGCCAGCCTTTGTACAGCTGAGCAAAGATCTCTGCAGACTAGCTCACGCCCTACTCTTTCGGTGTTTTGAGACAGGGTCTCGCTAAGTAGCCCAGGTTGGCCGGGCTCCGCAGCCCAAGCTGGCCTTGACGTCGCCACAACCCTCCCGCCTCGGCCTCCTGCGCGCTGGGATTCCAGGCGTGCCCACACAGCCTTCACGCTCCCGCTCTCTCGGCAGAATTTCCTACGACCCAGCGCGCTTCCCGAGGTACCTGCCGGAGGCCTACTGCCTGTGCCGCGGCTGCCTCACCGGGCTGTTCGGCGAGGAGGACTTCCGCTTCCGCAGCGCGCCGGTCTACTCTCCCGCCGTAGTCCTGCGCCGCACGGCGGCCTGCGCGGGCGGCCGCTCGGTGTACGCCGAGCACTACATCACCGTCCCGGTGGGTTGCACCTGCGTGCCGGAGCCCGACAAGGACGCGGATGGCGCCAACTCCAGCATGGACAAGCCGGGCGCCAAGCTCCTGCTGGGGCCCAGGGACGGCCCCGCGGGGCGCTGAGGCCGCGGACTGCCCGCCTGCATCCCCGCATCTCCAGGCCGAAGCCATCGGTCGCGGCCCGCAGGCGGCTTTGCAAATGCTGGTCCAGTCCAGCCTGTCGCTGCTGCTGCGTGCTTGCCCCCGAGAGAGAGCTCCATAAGCTTTAAATATATATGTACTTTAAAGTAGAGAACACATATGTACGACTATTTTGAATAGAGGCAGAAACTATTTTTATATTAGTCATTTAGGGCAAGTAGATTTTTAAAATTTCCTTTATGTATAAGCAATTTATAAACACCCCATTTTCTTTCTTTTAGACGTGTAATTGGGGTACTCGGATAAAGTCCTATTAGCTGGCACTGTGTCCTGGGTCTCTGAATTCAGCTCGTTGCCAAGGCTGACCTAGAGTGAAATGGATGCTCTGAATCTGACCATTCATCCACTGAAGGCCTCATAGGTCGATGCCAGTAGCCATAGTCGCCGAAACCCAGACTTTTATTCATTAGGAATAGTATCAACTTTAAAAAAAATTTTCCCCCACTTTTGAAAGCCACTGATTTCAATTTGTGGCATGAGGTGGAATGTGACATCTTTGCCAGTTCTTAGTGAGATCCAAGCACACATTGGCTTAGTTTTATGGGCTTTTGGATATTAGGAAGCTGAATATTAGGAAGACAAAGGCCAAAATAGTTCCCAGAGATCAGTATTGAGGCCTGGCTTCTGGGTTTTACAATGTGAACTAAACCCTTACATCTCCTTTAGGTTGAAAGTGAGTCCCTGAACACATTGTACAGATTCTTTTTAGTCATTAAAACAGTGGTAGATGGAGGATATGCTGCAGTGTGCATTTCATTCTTTCCAGATTTTGCTTAGGTGAACTAGTTTGGGGTATTGGGACAGAACTCAGGTCCTTGGACATTCTAAGTAGGGTGTCTGCCAGTGTCCTGATTCACTTTCAGAAGAAACAGTAGGCCATTTGTTGTTCCACTTTTGAGATGAGCTCGCTATGTAGCCCAGCCTGACCTGGAAAAAAATCCATCCTGTGCCTCGGCCTTCTGAGTAGGAAGATTACAGGTGTGAGCCACCACTGCAGGATAAAATAATATGCTATCTAAGGTCTTAATTTTAAATCAAGCCTTGATTTTGTTTTCCAAAGATCAACTAGTCACATAAAGGTAATCTTTTGATCTTTTGTGACACCCCAAGCCAACCAAGAAATATCCTTTTAAAAAGCTTCAGGTGTCACAGAAATGACATACCATCAGCTTTTTAATTTTTTCAATTAAAAACATTTTATGTGTATGAGTTTTTTTGCCTGCATATCTGTAAGTGCACCGTGTATGTGTCTGGTGCCTGCAGAGGCCAGCAGAGAGTGCTGGATCCCCTGGAGCTGGAGTTAAGGTCAGGTGCTAGCTGCCAAGTAGGTGCTGAGAACTCAACCTAAGTTCTCTGGAAGAGCAGCCCATGCTCTTAACTGCTGAGCTATCTATGCATCCCCATGTTTTTCAATTTTTGCTTGAAAAAAGGTCTTGTTATGTAGCCTAGGCTGGCCTCAAACTTTTGCCAATCCTCCTGCTTCAGCCTTCCAAGTGGTGGGATAACAGGCACAAGTCATCATGCCTCAGCAAGCATTTCTATATTACTCACAGCCTGGGTTTGATCTGTAATTTTCAGTTCCTACAGTATGCAGACAGAAGCTGTGAGTATGTATTAGTCACTTTTCTGTTGCTGTGATAGAAACACTGACCCAAGCAATTTATATAAGGAAGCATTTATTTGAGCTTCCAGTTCCAGGGGAATTACGGTCCATCATGGCAGGGAGGCATGGTGGCTGGAGGTGGCTGGAGCAGGAGCAGCAGAAGCTAAGCTCTCACATCATCACACAGGCACAGGAAGCAAGAGAACAACTGGAGATCTGGCAAGGCATAAGAATTCTCTAAGCCCTCCCCCAGTGATATGCTTCTTCCAGGATAGCCACACCTTCTAAAACCTCCCCAAACGGCGCCATCATCTGGGGACAAAATGTCCAAATACTTAGAGCCTATGGGGGACATTTTCATTCAAACCATCACAAAAGTCCAAACAAAAATTCAGTTGAAAGCCATAGGTATAGATAGTTCTATGAGTCTGTGAAATTTCACACTACCATTCTAACTCGGGAGGATAGACAGAAAATGGTATGTCAAAAAGACATTCCTATCTCAAAACCAAGAGGTTTAAAACATCTACAGAAGTATAAAAGGCTGGGGATGTAGCCCAGGTGGTAGAGTGCTTGACTAGGATGCATGAAATACTAGCTCCAATCCTCATCACTGCATAAAACCATGTGTGATAATGCACCCCTAATTCAAGCACTTGGGAGTTCGAAGCAGGAGGATCAGGAGTTCAAGGCTAACCTTGGCTACATATTGAGTTCAAGACTAGCCTAGTCTGCAGGAGACCCTGTCTCAAAAAAAAGATGTAACTTCCTAAGAAAAACTCCTTTTCAGTCTAGTGATCATGCGGGGATTATCTGTTATCCCTGGGTAACATTTCCCAGGCTGCCACTCAATCATATATAATGCAAGCATTGAGGAAGCTAGGATTGAGGTTCAACTGTGTGTGTATGGAAACCATCACTGTCCTATTGATTATGTTGGTGAGACTCAACTTGCTGAAAGGACAGCATGTTTTATTCTCCAGTTCTAGCTCCTAGAAAGACCATTGTCTTCTTTGGATGGAGTATTCACCCAGTTAGTAGGTATCTGCTGGAGTTTGGATGCTTTTTCAAGGATGGGGCTGGAATCCAGGGCCTCTGTTGTGCCAGGCAAACACTCCACTAGTGAGCCACACCCCAGGTTCCCTGCTTTGCATGTTGACTATCAGCCCCAAAGGCCCATGTATAAAAGGTGGGATCACCAGGGGCAAAAGCCTTGGGGAGGTCCTTAGGGGGATGTGTGGATGTGCCCAGTGGGATCCATCTCCTTGCACTTACCCCTCCACCTGCTTTGCCTGCCATGTGCTCCTCAGTGCTGCCATCTGGCAAACCCACCAGGGACCCAAAGAGTAAGTCTGACTGACCTTAAATTGGATTCTTCAGAAATGTGAGACCAAATAAACCTTTTCTCTTATAAGTTAATTATCTCAGGCATTTTGTTATAGCAACCAGAAGCTAACAATATCTATTGAACACCTGCCTGATTCCTGTCAACAAGCTCCTGGGTGACAACTGTGAACAAGACACAATCTCTTTTTTAAATCAAGACAAGAGCTGTTGGAGCAGAATTGGGCTGCCATGTGCCAGCATTGTACACAGGAGGTGTTGCCTTACCAGGCTGTATTCCTTTGCCTTGCTGAACTGTTTTCCTCATTTAGGAAATGTTACAGTACTCTATTAGCCATCAGTGTCACTGTGTCAAAATGCCTCAGCGAGAATTTTATCTGTGTACATGGCATCAGACCTTAAGTTTACCTATGTTCATGGCCTAGGTTTGGGCCCTGTTGCTTTGGGCCTCTGGTGAGGAACATCATGGCCAGAAGCATGTGATGGAACACAGCTGCTCTCTCATGGTGACCAGGAAGTAGAGGGAGAGGGGAGGGATCAGGGTCCCAAGACACCCTTCAGGGGCAGGTCTCCTAATACCCCACTTCTTCCTACTGGCCCTACTTCCTGAAGGTTCCACCACCTCCCAACAGCACCATCAGATGGCGATCAAGCTTTCCACACATGAGCCTTTGCGGACACATTAATGAGTGAAATGATTACAAGCACCCACCTCACAGTTATGAGGATCGAGCACTGTTGGTAAAGCACTCAGCACAGTGCTTGGCACACAGTAGGGGCAGGCTGGGGGCATTTGTTGGTGCAGTACATGATTACCTCAAGTTCAGTCCTCAGCACCAAGCATCAGCACACCACACTGACTCTACAAAGCAGTCTGAAATAAGCATCATGCTGACCCTTCTTTGTGGTGTTTATTGCTTGGACAGGCACCACTTAGAGGTGACCGTGTTGTCTGTGGAAGTTTAAATGAAGTCTCTAGGGCTTTCCCCAGGCAGCAGCGACTAGACAGCAAACTGACAAAGTTGCTGACCATAAGGATATGCCATTTCAATGAATAATGACAGAATTTTTATCTCCTCACAAAATAGATATTGGAGTGGAGTGGGATGGGAGTTGAAATTATTATATCAAATAAATAAGGGGAACTCACAGCAGCTAGGATTGAGTGGCCTCTCTTTTCTTGCAGTCCCACATGGCATCTTATTTCCCACAGTGAGCATGGCTGCACAGGTCTACCTGGGCATTGCTCATTCCTAGGTTTTGCAGTAGAGTATGGTACTGTGTGTATTACACACCTGCTCCCAGCAGATTGCCACAGTGCATATTTCCTTCAAATAAATTCTATGTCGCAGATTTTGTGACACTTCTTAGAATGGGGGCATTTGCTGATTACTGAGTGTTTGTGTTTGGTGACCTTTATTTTGTTTAAAAATGGCCCTGAGCAAGTGTGGAGGCACACAGCTGTAATTCTAGAACTCAGGAGACTAAGGCAGGAGGATTGCTGTGAGTTTGAGGTCAACTTGGGCTACAGAAAAACAGTCTGAAAATACTGGAGGTGGGAGAAAAGGCCTTGAAGCTTTGGGAAGCTGAGGCAGGAGGATCAGTTGAGCCCAGGAGTTTGAAGCCAGCACATAATATGAAGAGAGCCTGTTTCAGGAGAAAGAGGATGAGGGAGAGGGGAAGGAAAAAAAGGACTAGAGTTTAATCCCTAGAACCATTAAAAAAAAAAAAAAGTCAGGCATGGTGGTATAAGTTTATAATCCCAGCGCTAGGGAGGTGGAGACAGGCAGATCTCTGGAGGCTGCTAATCAGCCAGCATGGTCAAATTGGCAAGCCCCAGGCCCATCAGAGACATGGCCTACACACTGCATAAACACACACACAGGCTTTGGTATTTGGGGACTGGAGAGATGGCTCAGTGGTTAAGAACACTGGCTGCTCTTGAAGAGGACTGGAGCTTGGTTCCCAGCACCTACTAGTTAGACAGGAAGTAGTAATGCACCCTATGGGTGTGTGAAGGACTTCAGATATGACTTCAGATACCCTGTAGTGGTCTTTTATGAAGTTCACAAGTGGGTCAAGGATTTTCAACAATTGAAGTAACAGGGGTCCAAAGCCACGAAGCCTGGTGACTGCTCATTAGGCAAACCTGCCACTGGGCTGGGGATTTAGCTCAGTTGATAGAGTGCTTGTCTTGCACAATGAGGCGCTGTTCAACTCCAGCACTACTACTGGAAAAAACAAAACATGCAAAAAACAGAAAACCCTTCCACGACCTTGTTCTGCGGGCCAATGCTGCTTTGCATATATTTTTAGTAAGTTAAGCTTCACGCCTCTCTCTTTCCTGGAGAAGACACAGGCTTCCCTTGGTCTTATTGCCAGATTTACAGGAAAACAACGTCTGTGATTTCTACCTGTCCATAATTCCTAAATTGAACCTTTCATTTCTACACATAATTTGTTGCTAACTGGCCTGAGGAATTTGTGGCAAATTGATTTATAAGGAAACAAGGTAGGAACCATTGTTTAAAGAACAGACATTTAACCATAGCACAACATGTGCCAGGTGCTGGCATGCTGATAAAAATGTCTCATAAAAATACAGAGCAGTTTTTAGAGTTGTCTGGAAATATGGTCACTGAGGTCTGAGAAAAATCAAGAACGAGATCTCTCCTGGTTTCCTGAGCATAGGATCCTGTTTGCCCAGTTTCCTGTGTGCACAGCATCCTGTGTATGTGCAGCCTCTTCTCTGAATCATTTGGGACACAGTTCCGCTGCAGTAACAAGCCCACTCTCTTTGGTGTCCAACAGATCATTTCTCACTTGCTGCACATGCCTGCAGGTCAGATATGTGCCACATTCAAGGACTAGCCGCCAGAGCAGCTTCTGCCTGGAGAACTGCCTGCTAGTATCAGGGAGAAGTAGAGCTCTGTCTGGAAGTGACACATGTCACTTCCTCTCACATTCCATTGGCCAAAGCAAGTCATCTTTTCTGAAAGGCATGTTAATTTTTGGGGGTGGGGGGAATTTCAAATTTAAAATGGTTGCAGATTCTCAAAAATTGCAAAAGCATCACAA